CCGCCACTCTCAGGGCGGCAAGCTGCGGCGGCGAGGGGGCCGGGCTCGCCGGCTGCGCGCCGCCCTCCGCTGCGGCCGACCCACGTGTGAGGATGTCCACGGCCTGCGAGAGCGCCTGCAGCGCTCTGCGGAGGGAGACGGCGCAGCATCAATCACTCAAGGGGTCCGTGGGAGCGCCGGCGCAGGCCGCAAGGCGACGGCGTGAGAGGACGCAACAAACGAGCATGGCCTTACGTCCTAGCACTAAAGTGACATTGTGTGGCGCATGCAGGGCGCTCTGCCCTGCCCCAACACCCTTGTCTCGGACAAGCCCTTGACGAATGCGCGGCGCCCACGCTCACCCGTCCCTCCCCTGGCTGCCGCGGCTGAACGCGGCCGCCAGGCGCTGCGCCTTGACCCCCGGCGGCAGCAGCGGGTCGAACAGCAGCGCCTCCAGGTCCCCCTCCCGCTGCATCCGCTCCTCTTGCTGCTGCCGCAACTGCTCAAGCCGACGCTGCCCCCACGCCGCTTCGTCAGCGTCGGCGAGCGCGTGCGCCCAGGCGCCTTGGGTCTTGCTGTGGCCGCCGGCGGCTGGTCTGCCATGCTCCACGGGCCCAGCGCGCGAGGGGTGGATGAATGTCGCCTCCGCCGCCTGCAAATCGAGCTCCCACTCGTTGCCCTGCTGCGGCAGCTGCGGGTGCTGGTGTGAGGGGAGATCGTGCTGTCGCTGCTGGTGCTGCTGCAGCTGCTGCAGCTGCTGCTGCTGCTGCTGCTGCTGCTGCTGCTGCTGCTGCTGCTGCTGCTGCTGTTGCTGCTGCTTCTGCTGCTGCTTCTGCTGCTGCTTCTGCTGCTGTTGCTGCTGCTGCTGCTGCTGCTGCTGCTGTTGATCTTCCTGACAGGCCTGCATGTGTTTATCCCCTGGCTGGACCTGCTGCTGCTGCTCCGGCTCCGCCGCTCTTGCAGCAGCTGCCGCTGCCGCCGCGACAGCAGCTAGCCCCACCCCCCGCCGGGCGGCTTCTGGATCCGTCGTCGCCGAAGCAGCCCCGCGCCCCTCTGCGCCGCGCGGCGAGTCCGCCAGCTCGTAAGGCATCGAACGCGTCTCCACCGCAGAGCTGTTGGCCCCAGCCGCTGACGTCACCGCCTGCTGGCCTTCCGGTGCCAGGTCGATCAAGCTGTCGCACGCCTGCAGCAATGACGATACGCCTGACTCCAGCAGCTTCTGGACAGAAAAGGTGGAGGATGCGGGAAGGCCTGGCTCCAAGTCGTGCGTCTGCGGCGGGCGGCTCAGCTGCTGCTCCTGCTGCTCC